ACAGTCCACTTATGTACTGTATGATTACAGGTTCCACTTTTAAGGAGAAAACACTTTGAATTAGGAAACAATGGGGACTGGGAATAGCATAAAACAAGTCATGCTTAAGCAGATGTCGCTCAAGCTGTCCAAGCCTCCCTGAGATTTCACAGTGCAGCAATAAGAAAAGACAGTGCTCTTTAATTTGGTCAGACGGCTCTGCATTTCACTGCATAAACAGGAACAGACACGCTTGTTTCTTCTTGTGAGACTGTGTGTAGCGTTGGGGTTATTTAGTTTGGTACCTCATCTGTCTCAGTTTGGTGTCCATCTGCTTGTGGGCACTCATAGATGAGGGGTATTTTTCCTGTTGCTTCATAGTTGAGCTTGTACTTAAGTGTCATTTTTGCAAACTATCAAAAGTATTTAAGCCCAGTCTGTATGCAGTTATTCTTGTCATATCACTCAGAAACAATGTCCTGTGAGCACAGCAGTTGCTTTGGAAATGTTTTTTTTTCTTGTACCGAATTGGATCATATGCAGATGCTGCTAATCAGGTAAAGCACAGCCTCTGTCTCTGCCCTCAGGACACGCTCTTAGCTGACCAGTTTGCAGGGTTTCATGCTTCTTATAAAATCTACTGTTGAAAAAAAATCTTCTGTTAGATGAATGTGTTTTAACGTGTTTTGTACACTTGATCATGTGTACCAAAGTCCGTGCAGGGAAACAAGATTTCCATCGGTCTTTTAAATATTTTCTTCCATATGTCCTAAAATTCACAAATATATTGAATTCCGAGTGATGTGGGCAAGGGGATGAATAGGTCTAATTCAGTGTGTAGCAGTGCAATATTTGCAGGAGGGGAAGGGTTACTGTAATGTGTTCTGTTTTTCAGGTTTAAAATGCTGTGGTGGCGTACAATCAAATACAGCATTTTGTGATAAAATATAAAAGCCATAGCCTTACCTTAACATACTGTAGGGGGAGGGCAGTTAGATTTCTGACTCGAAGAGCTGCCCAAACAGAGTATACAGTATATGAATAGACATTCAATGTTATTTACATTTTGTGTTTTATAAAGAATACAGCTCAGATTGTGATACAGAGAGGAGCAAAAACCTCCTGTTTGAAAGGTGATTTCTGAGAGTCTTAGGACGAACCATTAAGAAAGGTCCTAGTGTTGCAATGAATTGATTTCCTTGCAAATAGTCCTTAATGTAAAGCAGATGAACAGTTATATTAAATTCAGGACTGCAGCGCCCAGTGATACAAAATTTTCTAACCAATGTTGTAAAAGATATACAGTGCCTTGCATAAGTGTTCAGACCCTCCCTGTGGTTCCAATTTTGTGAAACTCCAACTACAAATAGACATTTTTTTTAAAAAATAATATTAAATTAAAAAAGAATGCTAAAACTGAAGACTTCTCATGTCAGAGAAGCTGCAATAAAGGTCAGCAAAAACCAAAGATAAAAATAAAACATGCTGATTGTAAGAGTTTTCAGACCTGAGAAATCAGTATATTCTCCAATCTCAGCTGCTACACTCTGCAGCTCTTTCAGATGTCATTGGTCACGCAGTGGCATCTCTAACCAGGTTCCTCCTTGTCCACATTCAAAGAGATACTAAGAGTCTTTGAAATGTTTTTACTGTATATTCTCCTGGTCTATGGCTTTCTCCAACTTTTTATCCCTAGTTGTTGTGAAAGCTCCTTGGGCTTCATGTTGACTCTTTGCATTAAATTCACTACCTGACTGAGAGACCTTACAAAGAGAGGTGTATTTATCCTGAATCATGTAAATCAATGTTATTGTACACTTTCAACTAACTGTGTGGCCTGTTAAGGTAATTTTGTGCTGCTAAATTAGTTTGACACAACAAAGGATGTGAATACTGATGCAATCATCACTTTTCCATTTTCCTTTCCTATACCCTTTTTATATCCTTTTGTTTGTTGCTTTGAAGGTGTGGAGTAGGTTGTGCTTGTAACAGATATTCAAAGTGTCGTGAATACAAGCTTTTAAGTAACAAGATGTGCAAGTGCAAGGGTCTGAATATTTTTACAAGGTACTCTAATTCTATAATTCCTGATTTCTTTAGGTTTGCAACTAAAGAGCAGGGTTAATCTGACTAGTGTATAATGGTTAATGAGAAGCATCAAAGCTTTTTGCTCTAGTTTTTTTTTCTTTCCTGATTTTGGAGGAACACTTAAACCTACAAGATCCACAGCTTTCTCGGTGTATGAATTGTGAGTGTGTAGTACTGCAGAGTGTCCTTCATTTCATATCTAAGGGGGATAATGTGAAGTAGCTTATTAACAGCTGCAATCCTGCAGAAGGAAATGATCTTGATACTGTGGACTAGAATCAAGTATGATACAGGACTAAAATGATTAAATAATGGCACTTGAACTGATTTCCTCTCCATCTCCCTTCCCATCTGTGGTCTGCAAGGCTTGGTGCTAATAACTAAATGTAGTGTCTAAAATGTGTGATGGCCTATATAAAGACAAATGCTTTAGGTTTTCGAATGTATTTTAGCCAATGCCCTTCTTATAATGATGCTCTATTAAGTTTCTTCTTTGACACTATGCACGACTGTATTTACAGTAGTTTAAGTAAAACCCAGTGAGATTATTAGAGGTATATTTTCATCTTTACAGCTAAAGACAAGACAACATTGCAGGCACTCGGCCTTTTTTGGTGATAACAGAAATTCAGAAATCGGCATTTTTGTTTTGTTAAAGTAAGCGTTAATTTTAGAATAATTGCATTTTTGTTAATATGATTTAAAGGTGTAAATGAGTATTAGAATTATTTTTTAGTACTTAAATGTTTTTAAACTAAGTCCCTGAAAGAACAGTGTTGAAATAGGATGGTGTTGCCCTAAGACCTCAGATGTGACACAGTGTGAAATATACTGGGGATTATGTTTTTTTTGCTTCGGAATAAAGAGCATGTTAATAGTACCTCCATTGAATGTTGTTTATAACATGACTGCTGAATCACACGTTATCATTATCGGTTTGAGCCCACGGATGCTGAATCCAGACTCCAGGGAGTGAAGGCACTCTGTTCAAGAGCTGCAGTTAGTAACAGCTGTTACCACCGACAGTAGGAACAAACAGAGGTTACTTCCATGCTGGAAAGTGGAAAGAAAAAAAACGTTTTAAAAAAATGTTAAGGCTGCAGAGCCTACTTCAGGTGTGTACCAGGCTGGGTCAACAAAACAAAATGTCTATCTAATTTCCTGTCTGGAAGTGACCTCTGCTTCTTTGCAGCCAGTACACTGACACAGGTCAGTTAAAACAGACCTACAAGCGTCTTCTGTAGGCCTTTTCTGTACTGAAAGATCTCTGTTTCTGTTGACGTTTTAGCAAAACTGAGACAGGGGCATTATTTTACTTGAAGCGTGGTAGGGTTCTGGAAAAACCTACCCTTCCAGCACCCCAGACCGGGCTGGATGAGATTCTTGGATCCATTATCTACCAGCAACCAGGCAGGCTGGGTAGGCCGGACAGCCCACTTCTCTTTTGAAAACCATTTTATATATTGTTGCTTTTGGCATCGCAGAAGCTTGTAACGCAAAGGAGAAGCAAGTCTGACTTTCTTATTGTGCAAGGCGAAGCCCAGACATACCTTAAATCTGTCAGCGTAGGAAGGAGCTTGGGACTGAGTGGAGAGAATGTGGGAAATGGGGATCATTGTTGCGTAGTTGGAGGACAGAAGATGACTATGATGACAACTGCCCAGAGGTCCTGCAGGGAACACTGGGTGTTGTAGAAAGCACTGGGTTTGAGTCAGACATCATTTTTTTGTCTGATTTTCTCCTGTACCGAAGCATTCATTTTGGAGCTATAGTTTTACTGCTATTGCAGTTGTTGTAATTAGCAGTAAGAAGTACTATAATTTAGCTTCTGTTAGTATTTTTATTACTTCATAATCTGTTTTCAGACATTTGCGGTGGAGCCACCATAATTTTCAGGAGATGAAAGGAGGTTCAGGTTTTTATGTTCTTTCTACATAATGCTTGGTCACATGGAAGAGTTTTATCTCAACCACACGACATTAACGAAAAACCAAAGTGAACTTTTAGTTGAACTTACTACTGAATCACATTTCCATGTGTTCCTTTCATAATTGGATGTGTTATTTTAAATAAAGCATTTGTTACCACCCCGCCAAAAAAAGTGTAAAATGAAGTGTCCTGTCTGAGTGTATCTCTGCTATTTTAAAGTTATATCTAGCATGTCTGATTGCTGTAATAGGAAGGAATGTGTCATGGAAGTTTCATGCTGCTATAGAATGAAGTTTCTTTTTTGGGATATGTTTTGTCATTATGTGTTCTACCTTTGTGCAGGTAGAGTTGTGATTTTGAATACATGTGACAGGGTATGAATGTTGCCATTGGCTGTGAAAATCAGCTTTTGGCTGTTAAAATCAGAAAAGGAATCTAATAAGACTCAATTCACCATCACATATATTTGGTCAAGGCAAGAAACCACAGTTTCATTTTACAGTTCCATTTGACCTTTCTTATGATTTATTAGTGTGGTACAGCTGTGGTTCACTTGACTAGTGAAATGGGTCTAAGGTCATTAGGGAACGTTTATTATACTTCAGAATTGACCCCCCAGTTCACTCCCTTGTCAAGTCATGCTACTGTATATTCTGAAACTCAAGTACTTCCTCTTTCCGACACATGTACAATTTTTATTGAGCCAACTGTGTCAAACATACACTAAGAGATGACACAGATGTCCTGTGATTTATGGAAAGCACTCATGTTACTCTGCCAGTTTACAGTCAATGCAAAGGTTTGCTGTGATCCCTTGTATATGACACATCCGCATGGTAGAGTTGGTCATGCTGGCTAGTGCAGTATGTGCACTTCACTGTAACATCCTTTCTTAGTCTTGCCTTTGAGTGAGTGTCTTCAACATGAAGTAACAGAACATAACGTCTCTGGCTCCGTTCTGCCTGAAGCCACTTTTCCTGTGTTTTTTCCCCTTGTGCTTAAAGGAATGGCAAGGAGGGGAGAACAGCTGACGCCGAGTCAAAGAAGCTTAGCTGTAAGGTACGTTTTGAAGGTATGTTTTTTTCTTTCGGGTGAAAAAGCAACAGCTTGCACATTAATGCTTCCCGAGTGTCATGCCTGGGGCGAGTCCATCCATCCTTCCATCTGTCTTTCCACTGCCTTATCCAGTACAGGGCTGTGGGGGAGCTGGAGACTATCCCGGCAAGCAACAGGTGCGAGCCAGGGTACAACAGGTGTGAGCCTGGATGGGACGCCAGTCCATCTCGGGGCGCACGCGCGGACGCGAACACACGCACCCTCGCACCACGGCCAGTTTTTCCAGAAGCCAGTTAGCCTACCAGTATGTCTTTGGACTGTGGGAGGAACCCAGAGCCCCTGGAGGAAACCCATGTGAACACAGATGGGTGATACAAACTCCAATCAGACAGCGCCACAGGAATTGAACCCCGGGCCCTAGTGCGGTGAGGCAGCATGGCTCCCCACTGTGAGCCCGTCTGGGCTGATGTGCTCCTTTCAATTTGGTTTTGTATTATCACCCTGCAACTCACAACTGGCAGCCCACTGAAGCTCAGCAGGTGTGAGCCTGGTCAGTACCTGGATGGAGACCTCCTGGGAAAAACTAAGGTTGCTGCTGGAAGAGGTGTTAGTGGGGCCAGCAGGGGGCGCTCACCCTGCGGTCTGTGTGGGTCCTAATGCCCCAGTATAGTGACGGGGACAGTATACTGTAAAACAGGCGCTGTCCTTCGGATGAGACGTAAAACCGAGGTCCTGACTCTCTGTGGTCATTAAAAATCCCAGGGTGTTTCTCGAAAAGAGTAGGGGTGTAACCCCGGCGTCCTGGCCAAATTTCCCATTGGCCCTTTCCAATCATGGCCTCCTAAGAATCCCCCTCTATGAATTGGCTTTATTCACCACCCTGAGCCAAACCCTTAAGTGAGTCCGGTTTCCTGTGCTGTCTTAAATTCAAGTCCAATCCAATTCTGCCCTCTCCAAAACGCTGGCTTTATTTAGTCAGCCCTGATAAATTTTCCTTTTGTCCGATGTGGTTAACGTTAATAAAGACTGGCTATCTTTCTGCAAGGTTTTAAATACATTCATAATAATTAAGTGGTCAATGTTTGGCGGGGGGGTAAATGTGGATTAGAGAATTGATGGGTTACATCTAATACCCTAGCATTTTAAATGAAATATGCAGAATTATTATGAATACAATGAAACATAACCAAACACAATCATACATCTATAAGCTTTACATTCTGTTGTACTTATTACCATAAAAGCATTTAAACCCTGTTGCTCTGCCACTTCATAGGAGCAGCGCAACATTTTTCTCCCGCAATTAGGTTTTCACTAAGATATTATTTTGAGAGTCTGAACACAACCTGAGGTGATATTTATATTTTTTTTCCCCAAAGCTGACCTCTGTTCTCCTTGACATGCAAGAAACATTAGTGCATTTTTAATGTAATTATAAAGCCAGCAGTACTGGGGGGGTGATCAGCTACTGACTCTTAATCAGCTTTTATTTTCACAAAGATGACATCAGAGCGAGTGTAAAAAGAGTGACGTCAAGGACCTCAGATTCGCGCCAGTAAGATGCCCTGTTGTTGCCAAGGAAACATCACGTTCCCACAACACACTGTGGGACTGCGTTTAACCAGGAGCTGTCACAACCAGGGGAGAGGCAGGAGACGGGGGATGGAAGAGCGAGAGGGGGGAGATTCAAAGGCAGAGAAAGAAGGGTTTAATCAAACCTCTACTCATGTAGCTCTGTGCTTCAAGAAGATATCTGAAATAAAGGGGGCTGAAATGTATAGTATGAAACTGTAAACATTTGAAATTTCCTTGACTAACAAAATTACGAAAGCGAATAAGCCGCAACACAAACTGTAATAGGTGCATTCCTGCTAGACAGAAAGTTTTGAGATGCTGTGAAAACTTGTTTTTGGAGTGGCATGAGAACTCTCAGTTGTCTCCAGTGGTTTTAACTCCAGCTCCAGGCTGGCTCCTGGCTTCCTCTAGCTGTCCAGCTCTCGAATGGCTCCATGGTTAAACTTCATGCTGGCTTCAGGACTCAGACAGACCCCCAGCTCCAGGCTGGCTCCTGGCTTCCTCTAGCTCTGGGGCGTCTTCAGTGCTTCGTTACAGCACTCTAGCTGCTTTACCTGCTGCGCTCCAGGTGCTTCTACAGGAAACAATGCAAAGCACTATGGTATCACTATGTTGTGTTTTTAGTGATGTTGCTTAGCTACAAATACTCCGTGATTGTTTATTAGTAAAAAAAAATGCATGCTTTTAAAATTGACTTATTTTTACCTTTTTAGGTATCTGTTTAACAAAAACAACATTTTCATTCTAAAAAAAAATTTTACCTGTTGAGAAATACATTTAGAAAATAGGGGAAAAAAACATATTTTCTTGTATATTATATATTATTAAATAACATGGTTATGCAAGGAATGTGTATAAAATTAGCTGAATACTGACAAAATATTAAGAACTTTGTTTCCCACTTAACACGACATGAATTTGGGCACTTGCACACATGAATCATACATCTTTCTAGCTCATTTGTTCTATATATGACTAGCATTTTCTAGTTTCTCCTTTCTCAGTCTTTATTCGAGGACTGGTTACAGCTTATCAGGATAATTTTCAGTATTGCTTTTGAGAACAGTCCATCACTCTGAACTGATGTGTACCAGCACACAAAAGAGAAGGTGAGACAGCTGTGTCAACAAAGGCAAAGCCTCTCTGTGTTTGTTTTCTCATAAGCCCAAGGGCTGGAGTCCAAAGGGTGCCTCTCCTTCCCTGCACGCCCCTTTAGTTAATTGAGCAAAGCTGATCCCTTCCATGCCATTGTCCTCAGGGCTGCAGATGAACGTGCTCTCTTGGGTGGAACTGTATCACTTGCAGGGCGTTTAGAGTAATACTCAAGCCTGGGATAATAGCCTAGGTTTACTGGTTCTCAAAGACATTTTTTTTTTATTTGTGGATTAAAGAAGGCTGAGGTTTTGATAATCAGTCATTTTCTAAGCATACAGTAATAACCCTTGATGGGATTTTACTTAAAAGGTAGTGATTCATATTCAAGCCAGATTCAGGCTTGGCTTTATCTACTTTCCAAATACACTGTGAATTCACCATTTAAGGGACCATGAGTGGTTCAGCTCGATACTTTGCTGCAGTGAGAATTGCGGCAGCGTCCTGGGGTGGTTTCAGTATCTCATACACTTCTTTGATGGAGCAGTTTATCTTTTCAAATTGATATTTTTTGTGGGTTTTTTCAATTGCACAGGGGGAGTCTCTGACCATTCTGCTTGCATGAACCCTTTGCCATGTGATAGAGTGAGAGCTGGCTCCCTTGAGAGTACTGTACAGTATATTGACTCACAACATGGGCCAGCTGGGATATGGAAAAGAGCTGGATAGGTAGCCACAACTGGGAATTTCAATGAGTTTTAGCACCCATAAAGAATGGAACTCCAAGGGAGGGAAAGGAGAGGTCAGGATAGGCTCACAGTGGGATGAACCATACCTTGGATGTCAATCAAGGAGGCTTGTGAAGAGAGAGATTAAGTTTGCATCTAGACTCCGAGGATTCAGCCCCGGGAAACCAGGGTTTGGTTGTGGAGGTTATGGAGGAATCTTGACAGAATGGGATCAGCCTGAAAGAAGAGCAAGTGGATAGGGGTTCATGCTGGAAGACAGATTGGAATGGCTAACAAGCTTGTGGACATCAGCAAGCTCTAAGATACTGTAGCTTGAGAAGATGTGTCGAACACCGTATTCAGGTGAACCACAGGCTCTTGACAGGTGGTTTGCGAGGTAGCTCTTTTGCCAAGTGTGCTGCCCAGGAACAGGAGTAGCTTGCTGGACCACGGAGGACTGGAGGAATTAGCATCTGCCGGAGAGAGGCACTGCCTGGCAAGGTAGTAGTGTCTCACCATAGTTGCAGTTTTCCGTGCTCCATAGTAGAAGTCGTGGTAGTACTTTTATCACCAAAGATGGGAGCAACAGGATCAAGACGCAGCAGGGCGAATTCTTACGAATATTCTGTACAATAACAACTGCAGATGGATGAGCAGCCCAAGAGGTAGGGATAGAGGAGGGCCTTGGGTGAGAGAGAAGGCGACGGTTTTGAAGACCTCGAATTACGAGAGTGAGCTGGGAGGGACAGAGGACTGTGATAGGGTTTGAGTACAGTCACTAAAAAGAGTGTCAGTGAGAGTTCTGAGAAAGCGTTAGGGTTTTAAGTGCGTCAGGCTCCTATGGAGTAAGTCAGATTGAAAACATCTTCATTGAGAAATGAGAGACTGCTGGGGGCGCGCTCTTTTAGACATCAACAGCAGGGAGCTGGAGGGTGAATCATGACAATGCGGGGCCTTACATATGAGAAGAGAAAGGGAAGAATCGCAGAAGGAAGCAGACTAATGTAAGACCTAGAATCCTGGGTGATGAGGTGGGGGTGGGGAGGTCCAAGCACACAAGCTGTATGGTGCCAGACCGCTAACAAGATCAAGTGACATGGCTAATGTGAGTTAAGTCAGGTACGTCAGGTTTCTTTCGATCAGTGCAGTCAAGGGCTAGCACTGTCACAGACAAGCTTGATCGTTGGCAAGCTTGAGTTGCATTTGCAACACAGTCCTTTGGATATTTCTGTGGGCCAAATTCAGTGAGATACAGCTGAGCATGAGCCAAGCACTTGATGGCCTTTCAGAAATTCCAGTGTCAATTATTTTCTAAATTCTGTGAATACAGTCAATTGTTAGCATTCTCAGTTTTGAAACTGTGAAACCTTTCACTTGATGTTGACAAACACGCAGTGCTGTGTTTTTCAGCTTACCTTTACGGACAATCGCTCTTTAGAATCAGATAACATATTTGTAAAGATGTAAACCCATATTTCCTACACAATACGGGAAATGTCTTTGATACAGACTATTCTGCAGTGGAAACTGGTTGCGGATCAAGAGGAATCCATTCCAGTGCAGCTTTTTCAACAGTTCCAATTCCATGGAAAACCTTTTTCCGGAGGTTGCTTTTCAACATTTGAGTAGTGTCTTTCTAGGTGAAAAACTCAGATTCTCATGGCACCGCTTGCATTTTTCTTTGCCCTGCTGAAGAAGTTGAAAACAACTGGCAACGTTGTATAACATTCTCTCTGTGTCATAGCGGTGTTGCTATGGAGAATACTGAAGTGGCACTGATTTTAAACTGGAGCATCTGGGGACATGCGTTGATGGGTTTTTCTCATCAAAAGGTGAAAATCAGGTTTATAATCTTAAAGGGAACTGCGACGCTATTTTTACATTTCAGGGTTCGAGGGAATCGGCATTAACGCTTGCTCTTCAAGCTGCAATAAAAGTAAAATGTACACATTAACTTCTAGAACCTCCACTTTACATCACAAATTAGACTAAATTGTCATGTTTTGCAATTCAGAACGAGGCAAAAAACGTTCCGGTTTCATGTTTTGTCCCTTTGACATTGCGAACAAGCACTCTTGTGAATACAGCTCTTTTAACCCAATAGAATTATTGCTTTTGATTTCAGGACGGTTTTGCCGAAGAAATACTACATAATTGTTAACCTAGCACGCAGATCACGTTGGAACATTTTGCGGTGAAATGTCTGCTTACACAACATGTACTTATTCGCTTGGTCATTGCGTGACATTAGTGATTACAGTGACTAGTGAGCAGGAAGGGCAATTCGCAACAACATGGCGACTTACAGTACTTTCGCAAAGTTCACAATTGTGTGCTCAATTCAAAATTTGTCGAATGTTTCTGTTTCGCCAATAAATTTATTTTGTAACCAAGATTTAATAACTGGTCTGAGAAATTGGGACTGCAGCTCCCCTTTAAGTATCCAACTTATGTGGAACCAAGGGACCTGTGGCAGCTCAGGAGAAGGGACCCCCTGACTTCAGCACGTGGTTGTAACTCCATGGCAACTAACTTGGGTTCAACCAAAAGTCATACCATCACTTCAGAAATTAAATGGATCCAAAAGCTGAATTTAGGCAGAGCAAGGGTTTGGTTAAAATTACATAATTTGTACATTCTTTTGAGAGTGTAGAGAACACGTTTTTTTCTAAGAAAACCAACGTCGCTGTAAGAACTAGATGAAGCTTTCCTACGTAATAGAGCCTCTAACGATATTCCAAAAGAGAGTTTGCACATGGTAGCAAAAAAGGCTAGAATGCAATGGCCCCAATGATTTTATGAATTTAGAAAAATACAAGGAAAAGGCCTTTGCGTTATAAATGTATAAAGAAAGACCAGGGTGCAGTTAAAGGAAAGGATTATAATGAATTTCAAGATGTACATGTAGAAAGGGATATTAAAAAGTCCAAAAATGAAAAAGTGAAAAATAATAAAGAATTTTATTATTACAACACCAATAAAATAAAGATATGTGGGATAATACCTGTATTGGGAAGCATCTAGATGAAGAAAGAAAATAGCTGATGTGTAAATATTTCAATCACTGTTTACTAAGGATGAAATTGGCAACGTGCTTCCGGCTGAGAAAAGACAAACGTCCCTTTTAAATAATATTAGCATAGAAGAGGCAGAGGTTGCACATACTAGAAGCACTTAAACAAATCTCCAGACCCTTATGGTATTCTATTGATTGCACTTTAAAAAAAGCAGTTATTCATAGACTGTTAATAATATTCTTCCGACAGTCTCTCAGGATGTGCTACTGCTTGCCCACTCAAAAGAAGGGGAACGAAAATGAACCAAATAATTATAGTCCATTAAGTCTTACTTCTATCACTGTGCCTGCAAGGTTAGGAAACAGCTATTTGAAGAAATCTAGTGGATCATTTTTATGCAAATAGGATCACAGGTCAGATTGGCCTTAGAAAAGATAGGTTTTGCTTAACTAACTTATTAAATATTAAAAAGTTATTGGGAGTTATTTAAACAAGCAATGACAGTAATATACACAGAGCATGACAGGACATACACAGAGCATACAATATGGTAGATTCAGAATAGTTTCAGTAACTCTCAAATTACAGGGAGTAGGTATTCGGTGTAATGCCTGTGTGTGGATTGGGAATTGGTGTTGGATATTAAGAAAATTACAGATAAGGGATAAGTGCTCCACGTGGGGTAATTAGTGGACTACCACAATAATCTATATTAGGGTCATGGCTCTGTAATTTAAATGAACTTGATTCTGGTGTAGATATTAAACTAGTGCAGTTTGCATGGAGCAGATTAGGAGAATTAGCAAATACTATAGAATCTGTCATGGAAACTCAGAAAGATTTAGATAGAATTTAAGTCTGGAAAAATGCCTGGAAGAAGACATTTAATACAGACGAGAGAAATGTTTTACACATGTGTAAAAAATAATAAACTAAAGATATAAAATGGGAAACTGCATTTTTAGAAGCTGCTTATGAAGAAGATGTTTATTTATACAGTTTTGAGAAAAAGTTTGTGAACCCTTAGGAATTATATGGATTTCTGCATGAAGGGGCTCCTAAAATGCGATCTGATCTTCTAAGTCATAATATTAAATAAAGACAGTCTTATATAACAAGCAGCACACACAACATTTTACATTGCCATATATTTATTGAACAAATGGTTTAAACAATCAAGATCATTGATGGAAAAAGTACATGAACCTCTAGGATAATGACTTCTTGAAAAGAGGGTAATTGGAGTCAGGTATTCCAATCAATGAGTCAGGTGTTCCAATCAATTCAGGTTTGGGATTGACCTGCTCTGCCTTATTAAAAAAATCACACAGTTTTGGTTGCCTGCTGTTAACAACAGAATTCTGTTGAAGTGCAATATGGCCCAATTAAAAGAGATTTCAGAGGACCTCAGAAGAAGAGTTGTTGACGTTGTGTATGTTGTTTGTTAAATAAGACTGTCTTTATTTATTATTATGACTTGGATGAAGATCAGACCACATTTTAGGAGCCATTCAGGCAGAAATCCAGATAATTCAAAAGGGTTCACAAACTTTCTCTCACAACTGTATTTGCACGTCAATTTAACCTTCTAGGTAATGTGTGAAAGAAATAAAAAAGGTAATCAGAATACAGAGGTTAGTATAGATGGCATAGGAACCAGATGGATTTCTACAGTATCAACAGTGAACCCAACAACAGATGTCACAAGTGGAAACAACGTGGAAAAGCAAAGAACTGTTCGTCTGGAACAAGCTGCCTAGCCACATTTTTGAAGCAGATACCCTGGCTTATTTCAACAAATAACTGGAAGAAAATCATGTATCAGTTAGCAACAAGAAACCTTGTTTGTAATGTTGATGATTGTCTTTTCCTGCATTTTAATGAAGATATTTTCAGTATAGTTACAACTGCTACACTTCTGCAAAGGTTCTTGAGTTTTTATGAAATCAAACAGTGTTATTTAATATTCAATGATGCTTTTAATTAAAGAGGCATTGTAGAATTTTACATCGAAACAGTGTCTTTATTTTAAAACGTCATGTATTTTATAAATAGGACAAAACCATTCAGGCTGTTTTTTTTGGGTTGTTTGCAAAAGATTTAAGATTCGATCTGGATTTTAAAGCTGTTGCATATTGGGGTATAATTAACGGCAAATAAATTAAAGCGTGTTTTTTTAATTATTGTTCCTTAATGTTATTTTTAGTTGTTCTTTCTCTCTTCAACTAGGTTTGGCCCATACTCATAACAGGTGTCATTTGTTTTTGCTATACAGGAGAATGCCAAGTTTGCTGGAGTATTTAAGTTACAACTGCAACTTCATGGGTATTTTGGCAGGACCCACCTGCTCTTACAAAGACTATATCAGTTTCATCGAAGGCACAGCCTATCACCAGAAACACTTGGAAGCAAACGGGAAAGAAAATGGAAAGTACAAACAGAGCGATCCTTCACCGAAGGTAGGCTGTCATTTCTTTCACATTGATTTGTACGACCATAATATGATTGAAGGACTAGACTGCATATTAAATTAACCTAAAGCATCTCTTCAAATAAAAAAACCTGTGACTTGCCCGACTGCGTTTCTTAGACTTGTTAGTTCTTGACTGAAGCTCATTGTTGTCACCCTTGATCAGGGATCCTTTCTGTGTTGTGACAGGCCTGGTCTCTGCCAGTCAGCTCACAATAAGGAACAAGTAATAGGAATACTCTATGGGCTGCTAACATGAAATGTTGTAAGATGTCACAGTCCACTTATGAACAAGTAATAGGTTTATACCATGCTGAAAAGAGAAGAAAGAAAACACAACGTTTCGGCCGTGGAGCCTTCTTCAGGTGTGAGCGAAGGCTCACAGGTGGTGAGGTGTGAAGAAGGCTCCACGGCCGAAACGTTGTGTTTTCTTTCTTCTCTTTTCAGCATGGAATAAACCTGTTACTATTGAGATGTATACTCATTTGCAGTGATAACAGTGCTTCTTAACTTCTCTCATCCTCTGTTTATGCTGTGATATACACTATAGTAAATTATATCTGATTTGCTGATGTGAAAAGTTACAGCTTCAGGGTTTTATTTCGTAAAGCACAAAATAACTTGTGTCAGCATAGACAGATTCTAACAGCACCTTTATAGAAAAATGCCATAGCTATTGTGAAACCAGTGTTTTTGAGATTTCATTTTAAACTGCAAGTCAGGTTAAAGAAAGTCTGAATCAGCACTTTCTATTTTAACCCTGTCTGGGTTTCCTACAGCTCACCAGGTGAGGCTATGAAGCCTAGCATTTATTCTCCTGGTATATCAAAAGTTAACTTAGCAGTCTTATAAACACACCAAATGTTCATACACATTTTCTGTGTCGCTACAGATGCAAAACTGAGTTATAGTAGCAACTGTCTATAGTGTGATTTAAAAAAATGAATGAACATTGGCCTTTAGGTGTGATGAGTGCATTGCCAAACCAAAGATATGTCTAAGACTAAAAACACCATTTAGATTTGTCATTCGGATCTTCTATTCTTGAATCTGTTTAAATCTTAACAGGATCCTCTGTATTTCACAGACTAATAGCCTTGTTCTTTTTCATGAACAACTTGTTCATTATGCCTCAGAAATCAATCATTAAAAGTATAACCAGCAGCACTAATGTGTCTGTTGCTACAAGGACTGCAGAATAAGAAGATTGATTCCATTTTAGGTATTTCTTCCCAATTTTCTGCCACATTGCCAATTACGCAAGCCGTGTGCATGTGAGAGTGAACAGCTCGTTAGTTAAAAACATAGCCTCCAATAATATGAAGCTGTTCAGGCTAAAGGTCCTCAGATCGTCATTCAAAATCATTGTTAAAATAAACTCGTGTTGAAAAGCAGACAAAGAATTCAGGTTGCCGATATTTCTTTTCCTCGTTCAAATACAACGCAAGTCACGTGACAGTGTGTCCCTACGATGCATGTATTATTAGTCCTTTACAACTAGCCGTGTCTTTCCCAATGTTAAAACATGAAAGCTGCGGGGTACCTCCTGTAAACTGTCCTTTTCCTTTACTCTCAGACGGATGTGATTCACAAGCTGGCGGTGTGTGCAGTCTCTCTCCTGGTATATCTGACGGTCTCCAGAAGATTTACAGTGGAGCGCAATGTGGATGACGTCTTCACTGCCTCAACACCGGTCTACACCCAGGTCCTTTATCTCTACTTGTCTATGCTGGCGACCAGACCAAAGTACTACTTTGTGTGGACTCTTGGTAAGCGCCTTCTATCGCTATCGGGTTCTTGCATAAGTGGACAAAAATACAAGCGTTTTTACTGCGGCCAGTTTTCCAGACGTAGTGTATTGATGCATTACGTAATTATTCAGTCTCGCAGCACGCTTAGAAATTGCAACATAGCTAGTCGCTCTGCTCCTGAGGAGCTCATTAGAACTGAACATATTGAAGAGACTCCAGAATTCATTTCTAGCTGGTTTTTTTCTTGCCATTGATCAATAACTTCCAATAAAACGATTAATTCCTGTTCCATTAAAAGAGGTATTTATAGCACTGTACATAAAAGCAAAAAAGTGCTGTCATACCAGGTGGCGTGTTTTTCTGTACTCTGTTCCCTAGCTAATGTGTTTTCTGTGCAACTGGATCCGGTATTTGGTATTTTGGATCCATAAAATTCCTCCTGTTGAATGAGTATAAAATTGGACATCCATTATTTCTGCATGGAAATCAATGACCTGAAAATGAAAGTTTTGTGATACAGAAGTTAATGTAAAATTGTCCTAACCCCCTGCACACATACACACACAGCCCTTTATCTCAATAGATAAATATATAGTGACCCATTCAAATCCCTAGTAGTTACGCACCCAGAGTAATTAGGTAAAAATGCCAGACTGAAAAGCAGAAATACAAAAACACAACAGTCCACCTGTTAAGCCTTTTTCAGGAGAAGAAATGAGCCATGAAGAAGGTTCAACAGCAGCCAGAGGAACTTACCTAGTTCCTTTGCAACCAACTCAAACTGACGCAGGACCCTGCTCCATAATAAAGTGTATGTCAGCATCCAGAAAAATCGGAAGGTTTAAAGGTTAAGAATTTAGTTACCTTCATAGGTAACCCCAGGAAACTTACTGTAATTAGACTGTAATGTCAATAATAAGCTCAGGCATTCTCAGGCTTTGTTCAACAAGTAAGAAAAGGAAATTTAAAATGCTTCAATAATACCACATTTCCACATTTCATATCCTCCTCTATTATTGTAATGTTAACGTTGGCTTGCTTAAGTACTTAAACTCCAGATGTAAAAATAAATTTGAGTGCCAGTTATAAAGCTATTAAACCTCTCAAGGCTACAAAGGAAACCTTGCTGTTCATGAATGGCATAGTGCTGCAAGTTCTCTTCCACGGTTGAAGCCTGTGTAAATCATGGTTAAATATGTAATCTGGTTTCTATCACTGGTTCAGTGGTTAAATGTTTGCTGCTAACCTGTGCAGTCTTGGCTTGCAAATCAGCCGGGCATAAATGTGACTGTTCAGCATACACTATGAACATATGAGAAAATCCAGATGAAGTCAAGTCAAGGTGTATTTGTCACCAAGGCTGGAAGAGTCTGTAATGTTAAAATACAAACAGCACATTTCAGTTCTTCGGCTGGACTGTAGATGTAGTTGTATGGTATTATACTGCCCTCTTGTGTATGTGTGAGGAATTGAAAGCCGTTCATTTCTAGTGTGTTTGACATGACTTTTTTTATTATTATTAATGGTGTTATGAGTTAAGTGGTATTTAACAAATATCAATACAAAGGGGCAGTGTTATCGATGTACAAAACAACAAACTGTGTCATTAATAGAAGTAGGGGATGCATGAACTAAACCAAAAAGTAAAATGTATTTTATTTAAATTATTTTATCTTTAAGTGAGTTGGTTCAAATTCTGTGAAATTTGCTTTCTTATCGATGTTTTATTTTTTCCTTAAATTTGCAGAGCTTTAAGCTTAAGACTTGTTGGTAGCATTTTAAGTTACAATGTGTCGTGACTAACAACATAAACAGAACAACAATAACGTACTTAGTAACTGATTGCTTCTAGTGATTAGTAAAATGACTGATGAAGCTGAAGTTGTACTCCAAAGTTAATGTATTATTCATTGACAATGAATAATGCTAATAACTCAGATCTTGTCATTTGATGTGCAATTATTAAGTTTCATTTTAAACCCCTCAACTGAAGTGTTACCAAATCATTTCATATCACAGCTGGAACTGCTGTTGATTGGTGGTGTTTATTCTCTATTGAGCAGAGGGGTAGAATTATCTGTGAAATTCTGATTTCATGCTTCAGAAGGTGCATTGGAAGTGTAGACTTTTTTTCCAAACCTATTTTCTCAATGCATGTGTTATTATGGGGTGGGGTGGTAGTGCAGTGGTTAGCACTGCTGCCTCACAGTGCTGGGGCCCTGGGGCCCAGGGGCCCTGGGTTGAATTCCTGGGGTGCTAGCTGTGTGGAGTTTGTATGTTCTCCCTGGGTTCATGTAGATTTTCTCCTTCAGTCCAAAGACTTGCAGGGAGGTTCATTGGCCTCTGGGAAAACTGACTCTGGTGTGAGTCTGTGTGTGCTGGCGTCCCATCCAGTGTGTGCCCTGCCTCGCGCCCGTTGTTTGCCAGGCTAGGCTCCGGCTCCCTGCGCAATCCTGAATTGGATGGAGCAGCTGAAAAATGGACAGACGTCTCGTTCTGTTTGAACGGTGCTTGATTAAGGTGCCCGACTTCATTCTGCCTTTTTCGGACTGTCCCTTTCACCATTAACAGGCTCTCCTCCCCTCTTGTTTTCGGACAGCGGACGCAATCAACAACGCAGCGGGATTTGGCTTTAATGGCTATAACAAAGATGGATCGCCGCGATGGGATCTGATCTCGAACTTAAGAATAGTGGACATAGAGGTGAGACTTCCATTTCCATTTCGGCGTGTTGTCGATAGATGCAATTTTTCCTACTGCAAAATGGATTTTTTAATAAATACCTGCTGTTTTCTTTATTCGCAGTTTGCCACCAGTTTTAAGATGTTTCTTGATAATTGGAATATACAAACTGCACTCTGGCTCAAAAGGTATGGAAGACAAAAAGCATAGTTCTTTGAATGAATACTGTTGTTAATACAGTGTCGTGAAAAACCGCTCTCTTAAGGTTTTAGGGCTATTTTCTATACCTCACAGCACGGGGATTTCCCTACGTACGTAAGGTCGGAACAACAAGTTTTTAAACCCGTGACGCACCTTAGTTCATGAGCTGGCAACACACCCTGAAATGAAACAGAAGAGCAATGACAAAAGGCAGGAGCGCTATAAACGCAAACGGGTTGAGAATTCCAGCGGGTAGGAGCAAAAGAGTCAGAAGAACAGTGTCCGGGAGTAACGCGCTTTGACCTCGCAGCAACAGGAAGGGCAGAATCCGCAAAGCGGACCGTTCAGAGGTTTGGTTTGGGAAGAGAGGACCCGCCAGGGGTGAAACAGGCGACTCGCTGGTTCTGATTTGGATTAAAGGTGTTCAAGGTATTATTGTCAGCCAGCAGCTGTATCACCCAGCAACTCCCAGCTGGCAGCCCCACTGAAGCTCAGCGGGTGGGAGCCTGGCCGGTCCCTGGATGGGAGACCTGGGAAAGCTAAGGTCACTGCTGGAAGAGGTGTTAGTGGAACCAGTTGGGGGCATTCACCCTGCGGTCTGTGTGGCTGACGGAGACACTGTACTATAAAAAGGCGCCGTCCTTCAGATGCGATGTAAAACCAAGGTCCTGACTCTCCGTGGTCATTAAACATCACAGGGCGTTTCTCAAAAAGAGTAGGGGTGTAACCCCGGCGTCCTGGCCAAATTTTCTATTGGCCTTTACCAATTATGGCCTCCTAATAATCCCCATCTATGAACTGGCTTCATCACTCTGTTCTCCTCCCCACTGAGAGCTGGTGTGTGGTGAGCATACTGGTGCACTATGGCTGCCGTCGTATCATCTAGGTGGTGCTGCACACTGGTGGTGGTGGAGGGGAGTCCCCATTACCTGTAAAGCGCTTTGAGTGGAGTCTCCAGAAAAGTGTTATATAAGTGTAAGCAGTTATTATTATTATTGTTGTAATTGTATGGCGTGAGAGTGTTTTCTTGCTACTCTAGGAGGTTTCCAGTGCACGTTAGATGACAGAGAACCCGTACCACAGTACGACTGCGCTGCAGTTTCTCGTGTTCCAGCCGCGTAATGAGCTGATGCTTTTTTGTGGTCTGCCCAGGGTCTGCTACGAGCGATGTCCGTACAACCCCACGGCCGCCACCTTCATTCTGTCAGCGATGTGGCACGGCGTGTATCCAGGATATTACATCACGTTTCTGACTGGCATATTAATGACGTTAGCTGCACGTGCAGTGAGTACCAAACACCCCAAGGTTATGTTTTAAACACAGTGAATGGACTGGGGGTTATGAAATCCCACTTCTTTTTTGAATTATGTGGGAATATAGTAAGAAGTCTAAATAAATGTATTTTAGAAAAATCTGTGTAAACACAAAGAAGTCATTAAATGAGAAGCAGTCAGAGTAAAATGTTCATTAAATCAGAAAAATGTTGAAAGTAAAAATTTCAAAATTCCTTAATTAAAAAGGTAGATCTAAGTTGGGGTATAACTTCAGGCTGTCAAAATGTGTCTTAAATAATGGCACGTCCTGACCAGAAATATCAATTATCCAGCTTTAGAATCTAGCAATGTCGAGGCTCTTGGGAAATGCCAGTCTGTCTTCGTAATACTGCTGATGAATAAGATCTCTTTTCTGAAAGTGAAATTTAAGGCACAAGAAAGGAAACACTTGAAAGCAGTGAGCCCAGTCAATCTGCAAAGGTAATATCTGTCTGAGGCTAATGAACCGTCAGACGCTGTTGTTGATTTAAAATGGATTTTAACCCCATGGATGACAGTGTTCACATGAGCCATATACAACACGAGTGTGTTTGAAAATATATAAATACATTACAGTTTAAACTAGGCCTATTACAGCTTTTAAAAATGATTAGAATATGATGATATGATTTTATGGTGCTATCGTGTTATTGTACTTAGCTATACTGATAAAAATGTGTACAGGGATTTTTTTAATTCAGTATTGCTCAGTGGTCCTACTTAATAGATAATGGCACCATGATCAGTAATAGCTGAAATAATCTGTAAACATTGTACAGCTCATTTGGCGTCTTGACAAGACTTTGAATTTGGTGTTCTTTTCCAGCGTAAAAAATAGATATCCCTGCTTTTTAAACTTTTTAAAGGGTCTTTAGACTTAGTCTTTTTTTAATTTTATGAAGCACGTAAAAAACAACAAATGAGCAGATTAATGGAAGCTTGAGGGCATTTCTGACATGATTTTCTTTTATTATAATAATCCTTCAAATAGGACAAAGAAGCATATAATTGACTTTATGGGAGTGTTACTGCATTGCAGTTCTTTCAGTATAAAATTAAATTAGTGAAAAATATTTGAACATCATCCTTCATCCATATAAACAAAGATAGATGGCCTACTTTTTCAAATATATATATGTTTAGTATATTTAAAACTCAAGTAGTCTATATCTTCACTTGGCCAGAATTTACTATAATAATGCTGAAACTATTACTGAAATGGAAGATAAAAGGTAATTAAAGTTTTTCCAGTAGACTGACCTCACTTCCATTATAGAAGTCGGTGCTTTCAGAAGAGGTCTAAATTTAGCTAAAATGGTTTATCGGGGCTTAACAGAATAAGTTAAACTTTCAGCGGTGCGTCAGCTTTCCAGAGGCCAGAGACACAAAATGGATGGAACAGCTTTCACACCGTTAAACGCAGCGTTAAATATTCTGTCTGCTGCGGAGAGATCCATCTGACCTGACTCTTCTGGGAGCTCGCTGTGAAACACACAGAGATTAAGGTCTATTACTACACCCTTCAGTATAGTAATAGACAAGTGATATTATTACAGAGATCATTTATGTACTGTATGAACAATATGCCTGTTATTATGCAAATATTCTGCACCAATTCTGCATATTATGCATTACATTTATTTCCTGACAGAACATTGAAATGCTCCTGTATCTTAAAGGTAATATTGAGCATATTTAGTGTGGAGTAAAATAATGTATGCTATCAATCTCTCTCACCCCCTGCTTTC